AATGGTTCACTCTCCAGTTGGCCATGATGGCCAGAGCTGCGCTGATCTGAAGCCAGGAGCCAAGAGCCAGGAGCTTCTTCCGGGTCTCCCATGTGAGTGCAGGGGCCCAAGGACTTGGGCTATCTTCTACTGCTTTCCCAGGCCACAGCAGAAATGGAGCAGCCGGGACTCGAACTGGCGCCCATATGTGATGCCGGTGCTTCAAGCCAGGGTGTTAACCCACTGCGCCACAGCGCCGGCCCCTGCTACTTCCTTCTGTTTATGAGACATCCAGCAGCAAGCCAAGCTCAACTGGCATCTGTTCCCCTGCTCTCACACCATGACAGTCCCCACAGATTCCTGTGGTATGTGGGGATCTCTCCCCACCAGCAGGCAAGAAATCAGTCTGACAAGCTGGGTATCTCTAATTCATTTCATTTCTGACACTATCTATGTGGAGATCCCACAAATTTGGGATTCAGTTTCCAAGAATATCCCCCCTGTAGGTGCCAGCCACAAACTCCAGGTTATTTTATCTGTGCTGAAGCAACAAGCTATAAAAGAGGGTTCCCAATACCCATTGATGGGGTTTGATTAATGTGACTGAATGGTTCAGAGTACTCAGGGAAACGCTTACCAGTTACTGGTTTATTATGAAGAATATTATGGGACACAAAGAGACACAAAGGGCAAGGAAGGGCAGAAGTGGTGCAGAGCTTCCATGTTCTCTCTGGGCAAGGCACTCTCAAGAAACCTCCATGGGCCCGGCTCTGTAGCATGGCAGGTAAAGCCGCCGCTTCCAGTGCTGGCATTCCATATGGGTGCCGGTTCTAGTCCTGGCTGCTCCACTTCCAATCCAGCTCTCTGCTATGGCCTGGGAAAGCAGTAGAAGATGGCCCAAGTTCTTGGGCCCCTGCACTCGCGTGGGAGACCTGGAGGAGGCTCCTGGCTCCTGTCTTCAGATTGGCACAGCTCTGGCCATTGTGGCCAACTGGGGAGTGAACCAGCAGATAGCAGATGGAAGATCTCTCCCTCCCTCCCTCCCTCTCTCTCTCTCTCTGTCTGTCTCTCCTTCTCTATGTAACTCTTTCAAATAAATAAATAAATCTTTAATAAATGAAAGAAAGAAACCTCCATATGTTCAGCTACCCAGAAGCCTCTGTACCCTCTACTTTGGGTTTTAATAGAGGTTTCACCATTTAAGGCATGACTGATTAAATCAGTGGCCGCTGGGGATCAACTTAACCTTCAGTCATTCCCCCTGCCCAGAGCCTGGGGAGTCAGGCTGCCAGCCAACAAGGGAACTCGCTAGCACAGAAAAAGATGCTATCACTTTGGAGATTCCAAAGACTTTAGGAATATGCAAGAAAAAGGGGCCAAAAACCAACTTTGTATTTCACAGTATCACAGTACACTTTCTCTGTTTTGCCTCTGAGTTTCCTTAAAGTGAGGCAATACACTTTATGTAGTCATGTATTTTGCTTACTGATATCTTAAATCTTTTTTTTAAAGAATTATTTTATTTATTTGAAAGACAGTTACAGAGAGAGGTAGAGCCAGAGAGAGAGGGGTCTTCCATTCTGCTGGTTCACTCCCCAAATGACCGCAATGGCCAGAGCTGAGCTGATCCGAAACCAGGAGCCAGGAGCTTCTTCTAGGTCTCCCACGTGGGTGCAGGGGCCCAAGGACTTGGGTCATCTTCTACTGCTTTCCCAGGCCATAGCAGAGAGCTGGATCGGAAGAGGGGCAGCCAGGACACCAACCAGTGCCCATATGGGATGCCGGTACTGCAGACTGGGGCTTTAGCCCACTGCACCACAGCACCGGCCCTGGTACCTTAAATCTTTAAGATTGATATACTTATTCGAAAGGCAGATGACACACAGAAAGAGATCCTCTATCCACTGGTGCACTCTCCAAGTGCCTCCAATAGCCAGGGCTAGGCCAGAACCAAAGCCAGGAGCCAGGAGCTCCATCCAAGTCTCCCATGTGGATGACAAGAACCCAACTACTTGGCGATCCCCTGCTGCCTTCCGAGGTGCTTAGCAGGACTTGAACTGCTCCAGTGAGATGTGATGCAGGTGTCCCAAGCAACAGCTTAACCTAACCATAACACCTGCCCCTTAATTCTTTCCTACAGAAAAAGATCTAGAAGACATATGAAGAGAGAAAAATTGAAGGTCCAGAAATTCAGTCCAGCTATGGTGATACCTGTTGCTTTTTTGTTCTCTACTTTAGAGTACAAAAATACAGAGTGTCTTCTCCTCTAAACTCACTGCTAACATCTTCAGACTATAGTGAACTCTTGGACCAACTACCAGACAGTAATTGAGTTCAACTTCCAGTTCTGTTATCATGGGTGAACCCAAACAAGTTACTTATCTTTTTATTTACTTATTTATTGAATGATTGTTACTTATCTAAGTCCAAATTTCCTTATTTGTTAAAAGGAGCAAATTACAGGGTTTTTATGAGCAATGCATGTGGCACTGCAAGTGAATACACTACATGGCACACTCCACATGCTCGGTGGTTGCAATTATCCTTATTATCTTCAGTAATCTGTCTCAATCTCTCCCTGTAGAATTCACCTCTTACTTTGCTACCAAGTCATTATTCTTAAATCAATCTTGATTTTGGGGCCACTGCCTGCAGTGCTGGCATCCCATATGGGTGCCGGTTCAAGTCTCAGCTGCTCCACTTCCAATCCAGTTCTCTGCTGTGGCCTGGGAAAGCAGTGAAGGATGGCCCAAGTCCTTGGGCCCGTGCATCCAAGTGGGAGACTGGAGGAAGTTCCAGGCTCCTGGCTTCAGATGGGTTCATCTTCAGCAGTTGCAGCCATTTGTGGAGTGAACCAGTGGATGCAGGACCTCTCTCTCTCTGTAACTCTGCCTTTCAAATAAATAAATAAATCTTTTTTAAAAATCAATCTTGATTTTGTCAGTCTCTTCTGAGTTCCATGCTTACAGGATGCCTCACCTTCTGCCTGGAAGGTGTAGCCACCACTCACTATCTTAACAAAACTGACAGCAGCCTCATCGTTCATGATGCCCCATCATAACAGACTGGACCACTTCCCTTCTCCCTACACTCTGCTCTTTCCAGTCTCTGCCTGTGTTCCTGGCACTCCCTCTCTGTGGAATGCCTTCCCTGTACATCCATATAGGGTGCTGATCCTCCCAGCTGGGTGCCACCTCCTCCACAAAGCTTGTTTGGATCCCTCCAGCAGAGTGTACTCTCTGGACTCTTGAAATACTTATTTTCTTTCATCTTGGAGAACTGTTACTTAGGTTCACATTGTCTACTGCCCAACCTAAAATATTAAGTCTTTTAAAAGCCAAGGTCCAGGCCGGCGCCGCGGCTCACTAGGCTAATCCTCCGCCTAGCGGCGCCGGCACACCGGGTTCTAGTCCCGGTCGGGGCGCCGGATTCTGTCCCGGTTGCCCCTCTTCCAGGCCAGCCCTCTGCTGTGGCCAGGGAGTGCAGTGGAGGATGGCCCAGGTGCTTGGGCCCTGCACCCCATGGGAGACCAGGAAAAGCACCTGACTCCTGGCTCCTGCCATCGGATCAGCGCGGTGCGCCGGCCGCAGCGCGCCAGCTGCGGCGGCCATTGGAGGGTGAACCAACGGCAAAGGAAGACCTTTCTCTCTGTCTCTCTCTCTCACTGTCCACTCTGCCTGTCAAAAAAAAAAAAAAAAAAAAAAGCCAAGGTCCAAATTTGTTTCATTTTACATCCTCATGTCCCACTAGTATAGGGCCACATTCACAAATGTTGACAAATATTTATAGAATGATTAATGAAATATCCATAATAAAATAAGCACATGGCAACAGAAGAGCAAAGTGCTGAAGGAGCCTACTAAAGGGAGGATTTATCTTAGCTGACATCACATTTAAAGTGAAGTTCAAGGACCTTAGAACTGTGTTAGGTTCAAGATGATGGGAACAGGAATAAAGGATGCAGGGAGGGAGAGCACAAAGATTGAAGCAGAACTCATGTAGCTGAAATCTAGAAGATGCAAAGGGTGGTCGGTTAGAGGACCCTGAGGATCTCCGAAAGACTTGATCCTAGTGGCCACAGGAAGCTGAAGTTTTTGGGACAGGGACATGATGACCAAGACATGGGAAACTGCTCCGGTTTCAAAGTCTGTGTCCCTCCAAAACTCGCTTGTTGTAACTTAGACCCCTGGGTGCTGGGGCCTTCTGGGAATGGGGTTAACGCCCTTAGAAAGAGGCTCCAGAGAGCTGCCCGGCCCCGTCACTCCTGCCACTGAGGACATATAACTGTGCCCTTCTGTCGTCTGCAGATGCAGCCTAAGGGGCCATCCTGGAAGCAGACACAGAATCCACCAATGCCTAGATCCACAACTGTGAGAAACATTTCTGCTGTTTAAGTGAACCAGGCGGAGGTACCTGTTGGCGGCAGGGACAGACTTGTGATGGTTATGAAGGCAGCCAGGTGTGGCACTGAGAAAGTCCAGGTGAAAGAAGGCAAAGAGGGAGCTGGTGGGAAGATAACCACCACGGGGCAGTGGGAAGGGGTGGACACCACAGAGCGACACGGGGGTCTATGACCTGGGGCAGTGGGAAGGGGCGGACTCCACAGAGCGACACGGGGGTCTATGAACTGGGACAGGAAAACAAGACTCCACAGAGTGACACAGGGGTCTATGAACTGGGGCAGAAAAACAAGACGTCCTGAGGCAGGCACTGTGGTGCGGGTTAAGCCACTCCTGGGATTCCAACATCCGTGTCAGAGTGCCTGTGGTCCAGCCCTCCCTCCACTCCAGGGCTAACTTCCTGCTAATGCGCACCCTGGGAGGCAGCAGGTACCGTGTCACGTACGTGGGAGACCTGACTGGGGTTCCTGGCTCCTAGCTTCGGCCTAGCCCAGTCCTGGCTAATGCAAGCATTTAGGAAGTGAACTGGCAGATGGGTGCTCTGTCTCTCTCCTACACTCTTTCAAATAAGTCAATAAACATATTTAAAAAGAAAAACAGAACATGCTTATTTTCACTAACCTCTGAATGAAATGTAGCATGTTTCCGATTACAAACACGTGCACCAAATCACGGAGGCAGTAGGCTTCATCAGACTGATAGAGATTCAGGTTGTGAAAAGAACCAGTGGAATCTGAAGTAGGAAAAAGTTCGGTAAAGCCTTGGTTAGAGACACAGGTCACAATTAAATAATGTTCTCATTATCTTCATGGACAGCTCTTATGGGTAAGGAGTACAGGAAGCATTCTTACATTTCAATTGGAAAATATCACAATTAAATACATTTTGAATACATTGAAAACAAAAGCTGGTTTAGAAGTTTGGTGTGGTGGTTAAGTGACCACGTCCCATGCCATAGTGGGGTACCTGGGTTCAAGTTCCAGCTCTAGCTTCCTTCTACTGTCTGCCCTGGAAGGCAGCAGGCCATGGCTCAAGTTGTTGGGCCCCCACGACCCTCATGGAAGACATGGGTGGAGTTCTGGCTCCTGGCTTTGGCCTGGCCCAGCCCTGGCTGTCGCAGGCATTTAGGGAATGAACCAGTAGATGAAGATCTGTCTCTCTGCCTTTCAAATACATTTTAAAAAATTCTTGGCCGGTGCCATGGCTCACTAGGCTAATCCTCCGCCTTGCGGCACCAGCACACCGGGTTCTAGTCCCGGTCGGGGCGCTGGATTCTGTCCCGGTTGCCCCTCTTCCAGGCCAGCTCTCTGCTGTGGCCAGGGAGTGCAGTGGAGGATGGCCCAAGTGCTTGGGCCCTGCACCCCATGAGAGACCAGGAGAAGCACCTGGCTCCTGCCATCGGATCAGCGCGGTGCGCCGGCCGTGGCGGCCATTGGAGGGTGAACCAAGGGCAAAGGAAGACCTTTTCTCTCTGTCTCTCTCTCTCACTGTCCACTCTGCCTGTCAAAAAAAAAAAAAATTCTTAAAATAAGAAAAAAAAAAAAAAACCATGTGTGGGGACTGAGAGCTGGAAGAGCATTCAAGATGAATAAAACGGTAAGTCTGACCATGGAAATGCTGAATTTCAGGTGTTGACCAAGCTCATGTTACACAGAGCATCCCGTTTCTTGTGCCCAGTAGCCTCCAGCTGCAGGGAACCCAAACTGTCTCCCTAGCAGGAGTCTGCATTCCCATTCTGTTCATCCTCCCCTCTCAAAGCACTGAAAACAGTCCAAGGACAACCAACTGTCCGGGTCTGCCTGGGACAGAGGGGCTTTCCAGGACACATTCAATACTAGAACCAGGAAAACCCAAGACAAACTGATGAGCTGGTTACCCTAAAAACCCTTCAAATCTGGCAATGTACGTATGCTAATAAGGCTATATTAATACTACCTACACCAAGAAAAAAACTCTGCTATTTAAAGTTTATTTTGGATCTGAGTTTGTTCATCTGTTCTTCCCACAAGGTAGAAACTCTTCCTTGCAAAGGTAAGAGGGTAACAGAATTAGTCAGCGTGGATCATTCTGTTTACAGAGAGCACTTTACACAGCACTGGCACATACATGCATCCAGCAACCCTCACAAGAACTCTGGGAGACAGATCGCTCTTGCTATCACAGAAGAAAAACACAAAGCTCTGCCCAATGTGTGCTGCTCTACCTCGCACAGCAAGCACCTCCGCTGGCAGAGAACACTGAGATGCTGCGTGTTCCAGAGGAGACGCTGCAAAGCTGCAGGTTCCTTTCTTTTGCCACGTCCCTGATCTCAGTGCTCAGCGTATTGATACACAACAAAATGGAGTGCTAGTTCCTGGCAGAGGAACCTCAAGGTAGAGCCATGGTTAAATTATGGGAAAAGGCAAAAAAGCTAATAATGGATTGCTCAAAACCAGCAAGATTATGTAAGAGTAGCGATAACTTGCATGGCAAAATGGGTGCAAGTGGTACAGACACCGTGCTCCCAGGGGCTGGTATTTGGGTGGTGGTGAAGGTGCCACCAAGGGCACTGGGTGGTCCATACTGGAGTCCCTGGGTTTGAGTCGCTGCTCTGCTCGCAATCCCGGCCTCATGCTCATGTGCACTGGGGGAGGCAGAGGGTGATGGGCGGCCCGTACAGGAGACCAAGGAGTGCCTGGCTCCCGGCTTTGCCTGGCCCAGCACCAGCTGACACTTGTGGTGTGAAGCTGCAGATGGAAGATCTGTGCCCCTCCTGGTCTCTCAAACAAAAATAAAAAACAAAATCTCTGCTCCTGGATGCAGCATCTACTCTGAAAATCTGCACTGCAGTGAGCACGCCTGTAAGTATTAGCACAGAAAGACACACGCCCCTGTGTGTGCCTGGATTAATCAATCCAGGAATCTTGGATGGGGGTGGGCATGCAGAGAGCCAGGATAAACCAGGGCAGCCAATCACGACGCAGGGGAGGGACGGGGCCAGGTTCATCGCCCTGTAGCCATGGCAACGCCCACACCAAGCCGGCCCCACCACGCAGCTTCGGGGATCCACAACCCACTGAATTTCTGCACCTGTGCAGCCCGACGAACGCCAAGCAAGATGTCACCACCTGCCAAACGAAGTCCCCACGGCCTCTTCCGCTTCCCCACCCTGTAACTCATCCAAGGCACATCACCTACAGTTCTTTCACCCATATCCACCGCAGGAAGGGGGAGTCCCGAACACCCACGACCCCGTGTGATAAGGACAGGAGGTTCCCCGGCTTCTCCCGCGGGGGTGGACACAGGCGAGTGAGAACCGGATACACACGCGGCGATAACCCGTGCCTGAAAAGGCAAACAGGCCGATACGATCAAAATGATCTCCGCCACGGCTGTCAGGCGAGCGCAGTTTCGCCCCTGCAGGCCACTGCCTCGGCACCGACCAATCGTGTCCAACACAGCCGATTTACAGTTCGCGGAGGGGAAACAAGCAAACTCAGGGCGCACTAGGGTGCGGGCGCGGACCCGGACGGCGCGCTGCGCGAGCGAGGAGCATGACGTATTCGGGAGAGCTTTCCAGAACGGCTCCCCGGCTCCAGCGAGACGCCCAGGCGGCAAATCTCCTTTCAGCCTGCGGAAATGCAATCAGCTCGCACCCCGCTGCGCACGCCGAGAGGCCGCGACCCCAGCGCGGCCGGGAGGGCGGAACCCCCCTCGGACCCCCGTCCTCGCGGGTGGCGGCCCAAGCGCCGAGCCCTCGCCGCCGCCCACCACATCTCTGCGTCCGGAGGAAAAACAAAACCACACCCCGCTCAGGGAAAAGAGCCCCCCCACACACACAAAAATTCTGTCGCAGAGCCAAAAACGGCGCCGTGAAAACCAACCCCCCCGGCGCCCGCGGCCGCCCGCGCTGCCACTACTAAAGATGGCAGCCACCGGGCGCTGCCGCTCCCTTCTGAGGGCCGCGGGCCGCCTCGTCAGCCGCGGCCGTTCACGCGGAGCCCTCCACGCCCGCCGCGCCTTGACGCATTGCAGGTGCGGCGCAGCCAATCAGGAGGCTCGACTCTTTCCGGTCAACCACTGCAGAGTCGCTCTGGCCTATCAGAGCGTCCCTGTTAAACTCAATGAGGCGAGACGCCTCAGCAGCGCCAACTAAGCAACGAGCTAAAGAGCGCGTTTGGGGGCGGCGTGTGTGACAGGCCTGCAGTGTGCTCCTCCGCCGGGAGATATAGTGCCCCGGCCCGCGCCGCGCCGCGCCCCGCCCCGCCCCGCCGGGCCTCCTGCGGGTCCGCGGGCCCGAGGCCTTAGGGGGCTTCGCCCCTGGACGGGGGGCGGCCCCTCCGAGGCCAGCGCAACATTCCCGTGCTGGGGGCCATCTGGGAGCCCCCCTCGCACGCTCCCTGGCTCGAGGGGGCGGTGCTCTTTGCCATTTGTCCCGGGCACTGGAGAAATTGGGACACTTGCCCTGATGCCAAGCCCCTGACCCCGTCGGCCAGGGAGCCGACCTTTCCTGCTTTAGGGGCGCAAGGCCCAGCAGCCCGAGAAGGGCGCGTGTCCATTTCCCCTTTGTGGTTTTCTTGTCTCCTGTTAGCTCAGTCGCAGCAGAATGGGGCCCGGGACAGAAGCCCCGCGTGGGAAGCCCCTTGTTACTGCTCTGGTCCTCTGAGCCCTCAGTACCCGGCAGACTCCCCGGACAGCCTGAAGTCACCGCGGTTTGGCCACAGAGCACAGAACAGGTCTATGGAGGTGTCGGTCGCCCAGGCCTGTTTCTCTGTTCCAAGGCTCCCCCCATTTATGGCAGCCTCTAGGGACGCCAGATTCTGGGCGGCAGCAGGTGGTGGCTCGAGTCCTGGGATCCGTGCCCGCCACGTGGGAGACCTGGATTGAGTTCCAGGCTCCCAGCTTTGTCCCCCCGCCTCCCCCCAAGGCTGTTACAGGAGTGAAGTGGACAGGCGATCTCTGTCTCTCCATGTATTTCTGCCACTCAAAAAAATGATTCAAAAAAATTTAGAGGTGGGTGCTTTGCGCACCCACAAAGCAGGTTAAGACACTGCTTGGGATGCCCACAACCCATGTTGGAGAGCTGCGGTTCGTCCAAGTCTTGGCTAGGGTGCCCGTTCCAGCTTCCTGCTAATGCACACCTTGGGAGGCAGCAGATGGTGACTCAAGTCCTTGGATCCCTGCCACGGACCTGGGCGATCTGGATGGAGTTTTGAGTTCCTGGCTTCATCCCTGGCTTTTGAGAGCGTTTGGGGAGTAAATCAGCAGATGGACGTTCCCTCTCTGTGTGTCTCTATTGCTCTGCTTTTCAAGTGAAATAAAATAAATAAATAAACATGGTGGGGGGGGGATCTCATCTTCTAGAGCTGAGGCTGTAGGCGGAAGATGGGACGAACATTTGGGGAACTTGATTGTATAACTGACGGAAGATTAGGAACAAAGAGAACCGTTTGCTCTGAGCACAGTTTTCAGGCGGTGTCCTATAGAGGAAGTTACAGGGAAGAAATGATACTTGGGTATTGTCAGTGCTATGAGAATCTAAAGCAGAAAATTAAGTCTCATAGATTTCCCGAAACTGCCGTTTCATGTAACTCCAAAGCATCTATGACCAAAAGGTCTTGGATGATCTAATTTTTGTGATTCAGGTCTTCTATATCCTCATCCTGTTTCTTAGGTTGTGTTATTAATGGTCTTTCTTGAAGTTTCAGAACCAGTATTTGGTGACTGCACATGTAAAAAGTTGTTCTTTGATCTATAGCTGTAGTTGCTAGCTGCTGTTTTTGCTGCTTCTTAAACTTTTACTCAAAGTCTTGTTCAAAATGGAGAGATATTTTTCTGTCTGTAGGCAGCTAACAGTCATCCCCAAAGATCTTTGCAAGTGAGCAAATATCTTGGAACTTCCAAATGAGCAGCTCTGCATAAAAATAGCAGCCCAGGGCTGGTGTTTGGCCTGGCGGGTGTGACACAGATCCTGACACCCCTGCTTCACTTGGGAGTACCTGAGTTCAACAGCCAACTCCAGCTGCCCACCAAAGCAGAGCCTGGGAGATAGCGAAGACGCAACTACCGGGCTCCCTGGTACCACCTGGGAGCTTCCTGCTCCCAGCCCAGCCCGGCCCGGCCCGGCCCGGCCACACACTTTGTGGGCATTCAGGGAAAGAACCAGAGGATGGGGAACTCCTTCCCTTTCCCTTTCTCTCATAAACAAAGTCCTGCTCCAAATGAACAATATATTGTACTCATTTTGTAATGTATATGATATGGGAAATATGTACTGTGACTGTATCAAGTGATGATGTGAATCACCATGTAAAAAGAGAGCGGGAGATGACGGTGCCAGACAACCGGGGAATTCTTGGGTGAGTCCCTTTGTTCCTGGAGCCTCAGCGGTCCAGGGTGCAGGCTGGGAGGACTGGGTTAGAGGGTTTCAGATTTCCGTGCGGCTCTGATGCGGATTCTGCTGTGAAGAAGTTGGAGCTTAGCTGGTGCGTGTCTTTGTATTGAGGCTGATCAGTTTTGTTCACAGTGCTTTAGGCTTTTCAGATCCCTTTTACCTTGGTTTTCGAGTTCCTTCAATCTTCGTACTCCTGAAGGGGGAATCCCCGTTTCCAAATAAGCTAGCTGTACCACAAAGCCTGTCTAAGGTTCTTCTAACGTGAACAGGTATGCCACAAAACATTTCCCTGGGGCATATTACTGCGGTCCTACTACCTACAAAACCTCCTCGTTTTTGGAGGTCAGAAATTAGCTCACTGAATTGTGAGTTCCTTAAGGTCAGGCCAATATAATTCATTCTTGTACTATTTTTAGTGAACTTCCTTTAACATTTTAGAAACTCAACAAGTTTTTTTTTTTAAGATGCATTTATTCATTTGAAAATCAGAATTACAGACACAGAGAGGGAGGGACAGAGAGATCTTCCATCTACTGGTTTACTCCCCAAATGGCTGCAATGGCCGGGTCTGGGCCAGGCTGAAGTCAGGAGCCAGGAGCTTTACCCCAGTCTCCCACAAAGGTACAGGGGCCTAAATACTTGGGCCATCTTCTGCTGCTTTCCCAGGCACATTAGCAGGGAGCTGGATCTGAAGTGGAGCAGCCGGGACTCGAACTGGTGCCCTTGTGGGATGCAGGTGCTGCAGGCCGAGGCTTTAACCCGCTGCACCACAGCACCTAGTAGTTTCCTCTTTCAGCGCCGCAATTTCTTCTGCATTTGAGTTGCCTCCATTTTTTATTTTTAAAATAAGGAAATATCATCCTTCTAGGATGTTCATAAGCCTTAAATGTCAGGCCTTACCTCCAAGCTCTCCTTTGTATATATTCTATTACATTTTTTGAAGAATACAAAGATTTAGAAGAACTGTTTTTTTTTTTAAAAAAAAGTGTGACTCAGAGAAAATTGCTCACTTTCCCTGTCTATTGTTGCCTTTCTGGTCTTTGAGAAGAGATAATGTCCTCTCCCCAGCTATTGGTCTTTTAAAAAAAATGGGGGGAGAATAAATGTCAGAATCCGTCAGTCCATTTGGGCAAATACGGCCTCATCCATTCTAAGTATTGTAGACAATTCAACAAAGTAAGAATTCTGTATGGATTTTAATTTTAAACTTTTTTAAAAAGATGTAACTTTTTAAAAGTTTGTATATTTGAACATTTTGTATATTTGAAAAGTTTATATATTTGAGAGGCGGAATTATGCAGAGAGAGGGAGAGACAGAGTGAGAGATCTTCCATCAATTTCACTCTCCAAATGGCCACAATGGCCAGAGCTGGGCCAAGCCAGAAACAGGAGCTTCTTCTGGGCCTCCCATGTGGAGAGCAGGGGCCCAAGCACTTGGACCACTTTTTGCTGCTTTCTAAGGTGCATTAGCAGGGAGCTGGGTCAGTCTGTCTCTCTCTCTCACTGTCCACTCTGCCTGTCAAAAAAAAAAAAGAAGAAGTGGAGCAACTGGGTCATGAACCAGGTGCCCATATGGGATGCCAACATTGCATGCAGTGGCTTAACTCACTGTGCCACAACGTCAGCCCCTATATAATTCTTTTGAGTCAAGTTCATCATGACTTTGGCTCCACATCTCCAAGAGTCTTCTGACTGCTAGGGGATGTCACACACATTTCTTCATAAAATTCACAGACAAAATATTGAGAATCATGAAATTCCAAGTTCGAGAGAAACCAGGAAACCTCCGAATGGCTCAACTTTTCCATTTTACAGATAAGAAAACTGAGTCCTGAGAAGAGGCTAGTTAGAAACAGAGCGGGTGCTAGGATCATCCTAGACTGGTCTTTCCCTTGATCTTTGAAAGCACTTTAGTCCAACAGCAGTCATAACCAGGGGAGTGGAGGCCTGTTATCGCCGAGAGGGCTCCAAGAGGCTGTGGAAAGTCTTGAGCTGACTTTGCTTTGGACTTTGGCTTTCCACTTCGGGACTGGCAGTGCTGAATGGTTCCCCATGGTGCCCCTTATCTATACAGCTTGCTTAAAATCTTCGACCTTCGTCTAAATTGCTGACACTTCCCTGTTGTTAAGCTTGATCATAATTCTTTACCTCTGTCTTCCTCAGGCAGGAAGTTTTCCCTTTCATTCCTAGAAGAGCTCAGAGAAGCTTAGTTTTTGGAGTGGGTAAGTAATGAATGAAGGAACACAATTATAATTCTTTCATCAATTCTAAAGTATTGCATAGGCATTGCAAAGTGTTCCTAAAGACTAATCATGGTTATAGCTTCGTTTCTCGGGATGCAGTATGCAGGCTGGCTTCTGATCATTTGCTTCTTCTAAACATTGTGGTTCAATCAGGTATGCAGGACTAGTTTAAAGCAGTATGCTCTTTCACAGAAAGAAAAACTTGTCCCGTGACTCCAGCAGCACCGTAACACCCTAACTGTGCTGGCTGCCTTCGGAAATGTTCACAGCAAAATGAGTTGAGAAAGGAATGGCTGAGTGGAGCCTATGGAATCACTGTACAAAACACAGGTTGAAATATGTGCTCAAGAAACAAGGTATCTCCTAACACAAGGGTTCTTCCCCCTTTCTTGGGACTCAACAATGGGAAGTGCCTCTATTGAACTCGCTGTGTCAATAGACCATTTACCATATGGTGTCTGCGTTT